TACCTACTTTTTTGCATGAGTATTTTGTACTTGCATTGTAATACCTATTTCTCATGAATGGATAATTTGTCTTTTCTCCAGGATTATAATGAATATTTCAGGGATCTGAATGTAAGTGTTCAACTTTTGTTCTTGGATAATTTGGGTTGGGAATTTTTAAGGGGCAAATGAAATGAACCTGAAGATGATATGCTCCATAAATGTATGTGTCTTTCCATAATTTTATTTTTAAATTTTATAGTTAACTTATACAGTCAGTGATGGTAACATGTATCTTTGTTCTTGTCAATAGCATATATGCGTCATCAATGAGAATGGCAAAAAGAAATATTCCATCCCACAGTAAAGACAAAAAAAGGCAGCTGATATCCAGACAGTTGACGCTTGCTATCTGACCTGGAATTGCTACTTAACTGACCTTTCGATTCCTGGTTCTAACCAATGTAGATCTCCTTACCTCAGTGTATCACGTGATTAGTCAGGTAATAAGGATTGAGTACCTGATCATCTCAGGCATACATCTTGACCAAACACCAAATCCTCCAAAGCAGGATTATAGAAAATGTATGAAAAGAGTAGGGAGAATATTGGTGCTGGCAATGTTTTGTGCAGACTAGATTTAGAGATTACTTAGGGGACTGAATTAACTTCGTTATTTTACTCCTACATGTACAAATGAGAAAGTATTTGGTAATAAAACAGATGAAGTTGAGGTAATTGAGTTGGTTGTGGAGTTGCTGTGTTTGGTCCAATATAGGCCTTGTCAGGTTTGCAGGCCATGTCCACACAACCATCCCCCTCTCCCCTCCCTCCAACCTGCAAGTGCAGTAGCTCTGTAGGATCAATCAATAATAAAGCATCCATTTGCTTCTACTAAACATGAAAACTCGTGTTTTCCATTTATTACTTCTTTCTTTACATTGTCACTTTGTGCAACATGTAACATTTTGTCATAACTTTTTTCTGTATTATATAACTTTGTGCTGTTTCAAACAAAAAAAAGCATTCAACATATTTTACTAAGCAATATGCTTAAGATACATATTTACAATCATTTTGTAAATGGAATGAAGGCTTCTAAAATATTTACAAGATATGTACAACGCAGTTACAGAATTTGTACAAATATTTACAACGTTGTGGAACTTGTAAGCATCTTACTTGAACAGAAAAACCTGAAAAGGGTAAAGTAAATGGATATGAATCTCTTTACAATACAGAAACTCTAAAGAAGCTGAGCAAAATGATGTCGACAAAACAAGAAACGAATACAAAAAAAAAAAAAACGAAAAAACTCTGGACGAAGAAAGACACGAAAATAATTCTTCACTTCTTGACTGGCTGAGAAATAAGGAAAACCAGTGAAACATCTTAAAAGTTGCAGGGTTGCGGTTGTTGGTAGAAGTTCAAATGTGCCACAGAAGTGTCAAGTTGTTACCTGTTTATTTGTTGAAGTGTGAATTGAATGTAAAATGTGAAAGCTGTCGATTATTATTTCATGGAAATACAAAAAAGCAAACTACTTACTAGAACCCAAACCATTTTCCAAATGTTCTGCTCAAGAATCCTCGCTCTTCTGTAAAAAAATAACAAAACTTGAAACATTCGAGGTGCATAGTACGGAAATTTGAGGAACAGTAATACTGTACATCAACAAACACCAAAACGACACTTGGAAGTGATTTGACTAACGCGCACGTCGTCGCACACACTCCGCGCGTATGCCACGCGAAACAAGAACAGCACAAACCTCGCGAGATCGTTTTCCCGTGGTTATCAAAGTTTGGAAAACATAACTAAACTCTAAACTGACTAGCTTTCATGAAAATGGAGGACGAATCAGCATTTGCACATAGAACTATTGAATTTACGCCACATAAAACTGCGGCACTGATTTTCTTGTTTGGTCACGTGTAGATTATCGCTAACATACCGACTTCGAAGACGAGGTTGCCTTTGGCTCGGTTCTGAGGCAACCAATCGTCATCTTTCTTAGTTTGAGCTATCTGTGCCACAGTTGGAAATAACGGTGATGGACGAGGCTGGAACGGGGTACTACCGTCTAAACAACACAAAAGAAAAACAGACTTGGTTATTGTAACTCGTCTATTACGGTGATGAGCAAAGATCAGCAAAGGTTAGGTTATTTTAAAAAGTTGGATGCTACGGGGACTGCGTAAAAGAATACATCTCAATCTAAATTTATTTTCAATCCACATTAGCAGGTTCCATAAAAGCAAGAGACATTACATAGATAATCTTCCAGAGAAGATATCTTTCAGGAGTTGTTTTTCAACACGTACTTCCGTGTAAGAACATGCATTTAGGTAAAGACATGTTTCACTACACTTACCTCTAGCAGACATAGAGAACGGATTAACTGTTATGCCAATGCTACTAAATCCTTCAGCTCTGTCAGTTTCATGTCGTTTTCTCAGAACGGGAAGGCCATGCGCGACTTGCGCTGCAGCAACGTTGGTCACAGAGACGAACGGCTTTGGGCTACCCTGGCCTAAAAACCAAATTACAAAAACTACAGTTGTCACAGTATAATGGGCTTTCGCCTAACAGTCATATCGCTATAACAGACAGATGACTGAGCTGATAGGGGCGTCGTCAAACAACCATCAAAATATGTGAGCATCTTTAACATCGGGTTTGTAGTTCTTTTGGATAGCTACGCCCCTTATTTTATGGGACAATTTCTTAGCGCAAAGTTCACCAGTACATTGTTTTACTATATCCATACCTCTCAGAGCAGCTGTGGAGAACGGTTTGACTGACTTAAAGGAGAATCCACCAGCTTTCAGTTTCTTAGTTTCGCCCACAGTTTCTCTCGGGACTGGAATGTCCTGCTCAGCATAAGATTCTTTGGTCACGGCAGCGACGCACGGTGGCAGCTGGTTATTTAAATAACCACCGCCTGAAAATACCGTCAAAACAGATTTCAATGTTAGCGCGCGGGTAAACATTGGAGGGTTCTTCCAGCACAATAGGAAAAATATTAACCTGCTATACGTTTTTTACAGAAGAACAAACGCACACTCGTCTGTTGGATCAGTAATGTTCCCTTGGCAGTAACGTATCATACCTTTGTTGTCGTCGAACACGTTTCCCAGGTCATCAGATTTTTCTCCAACTTCGTTCTTTGCCGAGAAGTGGTCGAATGGAGACGACGTTGCTTCAAAGTAATCATCAGCTAATTAAGAAACAGAAAGGACGAGAATCAGACTTCGGAAGTCTTCCACAAGAACACACTGCACAGTAGAGCAGAGCCACTTTTTCACAATGCCTGACATACTTTTGTTGGTTTTCTAAATCCTTAAAATTTTTAGCCGTGACCAAAACAACAAAAACTGCACGTGCATCCTTTTGTTGGTTTTCCAAGCTTCTCCTCCAATCAGAGACCGCCGTGAGCAGAACTTTTCCACATCCGGGTGCGCATTTTTCGGCGAGTAATAAGCGAAACAATTTGTCATGCGCGCCGAGAGAAGATGCGTGCATGTCATTAACGAATCATAGACCGGCTATGCATGTATGAATTACACTTATAAATCACTCATACCGTTAAACGTTTTCACGACATCTGTGGGAAGTTCTGAAACATCTGCAGTTTCCACACTTGTTGTCTTGTTCAAAGAGCTGCATGCATGTTCGAGCTTCTCTTTTTCCTCTGTCAATAAACAAATAAAGATGATGGTAAATTCACCAACTTACTTACCAAGAAATTTAGGACACTATAACAAGATAGTATTATTACAATGCCTTTAACTGACATTGAACATAATCTATACCTTTAGAATTCTCCAGAAGCGCCTCCTTTTTCTTTTCTTCAGCGTCCACGTTCTGCAACGTAGCATTACTGTAACTCATTTGGTCTTGCAAATCAACAATCTGCTGAGATATGTTTGCCTGCTCCAGAGCGACCCGCCCTCTTTTCTGCGGGTAGACTTTGGTTGTATCGTCCAGCCTCTCTTGAAATTCTTCAAGTTGATGTTTCAGTGAGGAGTCAGTGATCCTTACCAGGTTTTTCTTTTGTTCTGAAATATTTCCACAAGAGCTTATTATAAGTTCAATGACAAAACTGGGTTGTCTTTTCTCGTTGTCAATTTTTCGATTTTCAATTCTGCAGTTATTATAGTCTAAACAAATTTCGTGTTGTTTCGTAATGTGAATTATGATTTGCCTGTTTTATTTTGTTTTAAGCGTCAGATAAAAGGTTCGTGTTACTTTTGAACATGCGATTGCCATTTAAAAACACCAGTTACAATTACATGGCCTTTTCTTTGCGATCAAGAGGTCCAAATTTCCTCAGAAGAAAATCTTACCCTTAGTGGTATCAAGCGCTGTGGTTAAACTCTCTTTCTCTTTGACTTCCCTCTCCAACTCAACATTCCTGGCATTAAGATGGCAACTCAGTTCAACAATTTGCTGTGATTTTTCAGTGGTAAGCAGCTTGTCGATGGCTGCCCTCTCCGCTGTTTGAGTGTTGGCTGTATCGTCCAGCTTCTCTTGTAGTTCTTTCAATTGATCTTTCAAGGAGTTTATCTTGTCGAATTCTTTCTTTCGCTCTGAAATGGTCACACGAGCTATAAGTTTAGTGTAAAAAGATTGTCCATTAGCGTTCCGTTTTCCATAATTTTTCACAATATTGTAGGTTAAAATCTACACAACTTTTCTGCCGTTTCGTACTGTCGACAGTGAGTTTTTTTGAAAGCCTATTTGCAATTTGTTTTATACCTGCAAATTTACAAAACTGCATGATCAAAAACGTTATGCACCTTCACAGTTCTCACGCCCTGTACTTTTCTCCTCTTTCTTTTTGACTTCCTTCTCCAACTCCGTATTCCTGGCAGTCAATTCAACAATTTGCTGTAATTTTTCCCCAAGCACCTTCTCAATCTTCGCTAACTCCACTGTTCGTGTGTTGGCCATGTTTTCCAGCTTCTCCTGTAGCTCTTTATGTTGCTGCTTTAGCGTGGCGTTCGTCACTTCCAAGCTGATTTCACGTTCTAAAATGAATCCAAGAATTGCGTGGATGAAACATCGCCGGATGAAACATCGCCGGATGAAACATCGCCGGATGAAACATCGCCGATGTTTCATCCACACAATTTTAAGAAGGAAAATATTTTAAGCCGCTATATACATTTTCCTTCTTATCTATCCTGTTCAAACAACTTTCTCTTACGCACTGTGAATTTCCTTCTCCGGGTAAAGATTGCGGTAAGTGGCCTTCTTTGTCTTTTAGCTTAAAACTGGGTCAGTGAAATGAAATCAGCTTTTCCTGAACATAACTTAATATGCATATCCAACAGCGCATTCAACGTAAAATTACATTCACAGAAATTTTTGACAGACCACTAAAAAGCAAAACTTCACAACGTACAGTGTTCCGACGCTGCTGTAGGTCCTGACATACCTTACCAAATGAAATTATATGGTCCAATTCTGAGTTTTAGCCTCAAAGAAAAATTGTCAATGCGAGCTGCCTACCTTTACAAGTTTTAAACTCTTGTTCCTTCTTCAGGATGTCGTCTGACAGTTTCTTTAATATTCTGTCAGTATCCACCAGGGTTGTTTCCAACTCAGTGATGTAAACAAGTTGTTGTTGTTTTTTCTCGTTGCTTTCATTCAGTTGCCACTGCAACTCTTTCTCCCGACTTTGAAGCGAGCTGATTAGCATTATCAGGTCAGTATTCTCTGCTACAGAAAATAAAATTAAGAAAGAAATTAGAAAAGCACTTAAAAATGTAAGTCCCGATCGTACGAACTTACTTTTAATTGGAAACTCGATGTTTCCTTGATACTCTGAATCAGATTTGGAAGTGTTTTGTTGATTGCTAATATTACCTTTGAGGTTCTTTAGCTCTTCAGAGAGGTTTCTCGTATCTACAGAAGCTTTGTCCAGTTTCTTCTGAACATCGGCAGCTAACATTCTGAAAAGCTGTTTTTGTTTCATGTTTATTTCTTCTCTTCTCACCAAAATCTTCTTTAGTTCCGAAACTTGACTGCAAAGGGATTCGTCTGGTTTGCGACATTTTGCAAATTTATCTGGAAACAAATATAAAATTCAAAGAATGCAATACGTCCAGTGATTAAGTAAGTCAATCAGTCAGTGATTAATGTAAATATGTCCCGGAATTTTGTGGGGATATACCGCAGTCGTTTCCAAGAAGACCGTTTACGTTTACGTTTATAGCGAGAAAACGTATATCTCATATCATATTTGAAGCCGGGTGATCCGACACACAGCTTACCTTTCATCGAGTTAAGCTCCTTGCCAAGTTCTTTTATTTCTGATTCCTTGTCGAGACAGTTTCTTTTTGTCGCCAAAATATCCTTCTTTGCATTCTTTATCTCTTGCTCTTTCTCTTGCATTTTCTGTGCGAAATCACTCTCCTTTTTGTGTTCACCTTCTCGCAACTGCGACACTTTTTCTTCAAGGCATGCAATTTCTTGGTTTTTCGCTGGGTGGGGATGAAGTACAAACGAAAATTACCAGGGGGGTATTGAATAACATGAATATAAAGACTAGCACCTGAGTTTCCAGGAACGAATTAGATTTACGTTATGGATAATGGAAACTGGTTGTTTGATGAGATGCGATGAAGTAGGGAGCAGGGATGGCCAAGTGGCGAGAGAGCACGCCCCCCACCAATGTGGCCCTGGTTTGATTCCGGCCCGGTGCCATATGTGGGTTGAGTTTGTTGTTGGTTCTTGTCTTGCTTCAAGGGTTTTTCTCCGGGTTCTCCGGTTTTCCTCCCTCCACAAAAACCAACATCTCCAAATTCCAATCAGCATCAGAAGACCTGCATGACCAGCGAAGGCAGATGTGGCTTCCTCTCTAAATATTGTAAATTTAATTGTTTGATTCTCCAAAAAATGCAAAGATCATACCATCACAGTGCTCTTTGAGCACGGTAATCTTCTCTTCCAGTTCTCGTTCTCGCTTACCCTAGAAAGTAAAACTAGTCTAAATTTATCGAGCTTTAATACATAATGATGAAAACATGTCAAAAAAATTTTGGAGCAAAGTATAGAACAGTAAATAAATGAAAGAGAAAGACCTCTTTCTATAAGTGTGTTTGGCGCAAAATTAAAACTTTAATGCGAAGACTTCAATCTCTTTTGTCAAAACGAATACAATTTTAACGTCATAATTGAGAAGCGCTTGCGCGCGCTTTACCTTTCCTTTCCAGACGATTAAAAACATACTTCCGTACAAGAAAATTGCGCACATGAACAAGAGACGACGATTTATACGATGGATACTGTTATTTGAGAACATGCCCTATACATTAGTCAACTCTCAGTCAATTGAATGAGTTGAAAAGAGAAAGGAGAACAGGAGAGCAAAACGGGAGACAAGACTTCAACAGCGCGACAAATTTAGTTATTTTTTTAGATATCTAGCATTTTGCGAGATAACATCGAGATTCTCGGCAAAAAAGAATATTTCTCTTCGCAGAAGGAGGCATAATCTGAGAAATTCAAAAGGATAATTGAAGTCTAGAAAAAGGAAACGCCCACCTTTTTGGCCGGCCGCCGCTCCCCATGTGAAGCCTCAAGAGGTTCGTAGTTGTTTGTGGGAAGGTCTGTAATCCACACATTGGCTTTAGAAAACACATCCAGAGAGCTGGATGGCCTTACACTGTCATTTTCACCTGTAATATGTTTGTGTAAGAAGTTAAAAACTCCACTTGAAGTACTTGATAACCACGAAGTACCCATGTTTCCACTGTGCTACAACAAGCGCTCAACACGAAATCGGAAATGTTTCCATTCTGATCGGTTGTTATGGCTACGCGCATGGTAACTGATTGTGTCGTCACTGTTTGAAAACGTCACGAAGAGAAGCGAGAAACCTGGGTACCAAGCACGTTTTGCGCGCGAGAAGGCAAAGTCTAATTAACAAGGTAGAAAAAGCTAAAAATGGGATTGGCGTTGTTTATTATTAAATGAGATTAAAAACTATTGTTTCATTTTAAGCAAAGTCTGGTTAGGGAGTATCTTGGCTATT